ATTTCTGTATGACTGATTAATGATGGTATATTTACATGATCATATTTCAAGCACATCTTATCAGATATTCGGAGATAGATTTCTATGGAGACTTATTGAGTAGAGAGGCTACAATTGCAGCCAGTGACGTGATATGTGTGTCATATGAACGCACTGAAATCGATTTCATCTGACTTTAGGTCAAAGAAGATATCGATACATTTCCTTCAGTCTAAATCAACGTAGCTAGCTAACATGTGAATCGAATAACATAACAGTGTGTCAGCTTATTGGGCTATTTTGGCTCCATCATCTACACATGTGTAATGACTAACCCTACATTTGTAATGTTTACAAAACCGACGTACGTTACAAAAATGCATTTCAGGTTTTTCCAAGTATCGAAAGACGTGAGACGCATAGGACATGTTTGCTAACTATCGCCAACGTCAAAGTAGCTTGTAATACCGTGTGCTAACAAGCTAATGTTGCCCACTGTGGATGTTTCCTATGAACAAAGATGGAGTATCTTCAAAACAAAACAATAGCACTGTTATTAGAAGTCAATATAGTCGTTGTAAATGTGCACGTACCTTAGTATTTTGCATTAACCATGTAGCTAATAAAAATATCTTCAACGAATGTAAAAATCGGCGCATAAAGTAAACGTCACAGGCCACTGTCGACATGGGAAATGTAGTCCTTATATGTCAGGATGGCGCTCAAGCCCTCAATGAACAGTTTGTAGTTTGAAACCCGGTCAGTTCAGGTATACAACTAAATAAATGTTATATTTTGGGGAAGGTCTATGACGCATTTGGCTCATTAGGGAGCTTTCCATCCTCTTCCTAACTGCGCCTACAACCACCCAGAGAAACGTACTCTCGCGTGGTTCACCGACAGCCGCTCTGACAGTTGGGACGGGTCTCATCACAACACCATCAGGGCGTTTCAGGCAACGCGCAGGCGACCAGCAGCGGTCCCACTTGTCTCGGTATTGGCCCACCCTGCATTGGACAGCAGCTCCTTTTCCAGACAGGTTCGTAAATCCCTCGTTGTTGTTAGTAATATGCAGGTCTATTGCTCTTGCTAGAATCGCCTGTGTGCGCTTTATTGTTAGCATACCGTTAGCTCGCCTGCTGCCACAGACAGGCGGCCGTTAATGAGTGACTAGTCCAGCAGGTGCAGCGGACTGCAGCCTCAGAGCCACAGCTAGGTCATCTAACTTAGCATCTTGTGAAACAATAGCCTAATAACAGTGAATAACCCAAATGTCCCCGTGGGCTGGTGGTATGACGGTAGCGTGTCATGTTGTTTTTAAAATGGATTTTGGATTGTTGGGTTTGTGGAAGGAGGCAGCCCTGTGCTGTTTATTGTGGTCAGGCCGCCATCTGTCCTGTGTGAGCTGGCCTCCAAAACATGTCAGTGTTACGATTGCTCTGGAGAAAGCTTCAAATAGGTGATCTGATCTAGCTGCTCCTCCTCAGCCGCTGGTCAACTGACCTGAGATCCTCAGGTGTGGTCGTCCGTGATGTTACCTGTCTAGTAAAACGGCTGGTGACTTTTGCAGTTTGACTCTGCAAGCCTGGTCATATTTCTTGCATTTTCTTTCTTTTAACTGTATTATATTGTATTTTAAGCACCTTATAACATTGTAAAGACCCATGTAATAAAACCATTGTCTTTATCTAACCCTAGTGATGTTAACTGATAGCTTTACATTTAATAGCGTTATTTATGACTCATCTTATCTCAGCCCATAAATGCTCCTGTATTCACTGTGTGACCTGATCTGATTTGGGACTCTTCAGAGACCTGTGGGAACTCACGTTACCAATGCTGGAGTCATTTGCTCGACTTTTCTGTTTTGAAATAAATGTAGTGGTTTGATGTAAGGCAGCTGAACACTAGCACTGTATTGCTTCTCTCAGACTTTGTGTTCAAATTACCTGATACGGGTCTATTGTCTCCAGTCATTTGAGATCTGCAGCATGTAGGGCAGCCTCTTTGTTTTGTGTAAAATCAGTCAGGCGCTTCTGTATATCTGATATTAAGTCTGTCCTGGTAAAGTCGATGTGAGCCATCTCTCTGCAGCTGTAGGTTGTCCCAGCACACCCTGGACAGGTCACCAGCTTGTTACAGAGATAACTCATATGTACAGTTCAACACATTCACGGCTACAGTAGGTATTTTAGGTTGCTTGTCATCTGAGCTTTGCATAGTTGCAGAGCCGGCTACAGCCTGAGATCACAACAGAGGGATCTCTTTAATTGAATGGGCAAAGGTTTATTATGCTCTTTGCTAAAATTGTACAGTATGTGTATGCTTGTCTTTTTTTTTTTTTTGTCCGTAAAGTCTTTATTTTATCTCTCTTGCAGACGACATGACATGTTGAAGTGGTAAAAATGAACAAACCCAAAATGGCCACAGAGAAGGGGTGAGTCGCTCTACACAAACAGACATACAGGCTGTGATATTACGATTGTGTTTCTGTGTGAAACAAGTTCACAAGTTACTATCTGTTCACATATTCTCGCTCTCTTCTCTCTCTCTCTCTGTGTTGCACTGTCTGTGTCTGATAGAGAGCTTGTTTGTGCAACACAGCAGATGATTCGTTGGCCTTGCTTGAACCTTCCATGTGTATTTGTCATTATTACTGAAAAAACACTCATCATTAATGCAGAGGAAACCTCTTTGGAATAAACCTTTCAGTGTATTTGTCCTGATTAAGTTTACATATGTATAATCTGTTCATTCTCTAGTTCATCTGTGTTGATTTGTCCATTATGTGACTTGTGCAATGTGTTTATTTAGGCTTTACTGCTGCTTCAGCATGTTTTCCTTTGTCCAGACTTACGTAATTTTTTCATCATTCTTTCAATTTTTCCAGTTTTTTTTCTTTTCTGTCTCCAACACACGCACCCGCACACGTGCACACGCGCACACACACAGTCTCCGTCTCTGTCTCTGTCTTTATAAGGACATATAAGAAACTCTGGTCCGCTGGGTACAATCACAGAGTTTTGATTTTCTCTCCCATGTTTGCCGTCGCTGACCTTGTGTTTCCAGCTGAGCGGCACTGAGCTAAGATTATAAATGGGGGATGGGTCACTATCACAGAAATGGTGAAGCGATGGGAGTCCGCCAATCAACTTCAGTGAAACAAATGAAAGGCATCTTAAAAGTCGATAATTAAACATGGCATGCCAATTTGTTATTTTTTCACCATTACATTGCATTACAGAAAGAGCTATTTCCGTAGGCTGTTATTTTGGAGTCATTTGACTCACTGTGGTCATATTAGGGCATTTGCACATACGTGGGGCTGCTTTATGCTTCTTGATTTCTTATTGTTTTGCATGTTTGTCACACTTAAATGTTTCAGATCATCAAACAAATTTAAATATTAGACAAAGATAACACAAGTAAACACAAAATGCAGTTTTTAAATGAAGGTTTTTATTATTAAGGGGGAAAAAAAATCCAAACCTACATGGCCCTGTGTGAAAAAGTGATTGCCCCCCCCTGTTAAAACATAAATTAACTGTGGTTTATCACATCTTTGGAAAGCTGAGTTCAATTTCTCTAGCCACACCCAGGCCTGATTACTGCCACACCTGTTCTCAATCAAGAAATCACTTAAATAGGACCTGCCTGACAAAGTGAGGTAGACCAAAAGATCCTCAAAAGCTAGACATCATGCTGCGATCCAAAGAAATTCAGGAACAAATGAGAAACAAAGTAATTGAGATCTATCAGTCTGGAAAAGGTTACAAAGCCATTTCTAAAGCTTTGGGACTCCAGCGAACCACAGTGAGAGCCATTATCCACAAATGGCGAAAACATGGAACAGTGGTGAACCTTCCCAGGAGTGGCCGGCCGACCAAAATTACCCCAAGAGCGCAGCGACGACTCATCCAAGAGGTCACAAAAGACCCCAGAACAACATCCAAAGAACTGCAGGCCTCACTTGCCTCAATTAAGGTCAGTGTTCATGACTCCACCATAAGAAAGAGACTGGGCAAAAATGGCCTGCATGGCAGAGTTCCAAGACGAAAACCACTGCTGAGCAAAAAGAACATAAAGGCTCGTCTCAGTTTTGCCAGAAAACATCTTGATGATCCCCAAGACTTTTGGGAAAATACTCTGTGGACTGACGAGACAAAAGTTGAACTTTTTGGAAGGTGTATGTCCCATTACATCTGGCGTAAACGTAACACTGCATTTCAGAAAAGGAACATCATACCAACAGTAAAATATGGTGGTGGTAGTGTGATGGTCTGGGGCTGTTTTGCTGCTTCAGGACCTGGAAGACTTGCTGTGGTAAATGGAACCATGAATTCTGCTGTCTACCAACAAATCCTGAAGGAGAATGTCCGGCCATCTGTTCGTGACCACAAGCTGAAGCGCACTTGGGTTCTGCAGCACGACAATGATCCAAAACACACCAGCAAGTCCACCTCTGAATGGCTTAAGAAAAACAAAATGAAGACTTTGGAGTGGCCTAGTCAAAGTCCCGACCTGAATCCGATTGAGATGCTGTGGCATGACCTTAAAAAGACGGTTCATGCTCGAAAACCCTCCAATGTGGCTGAATTACAACAATTCTGCAAAGATGAGTGGGCCAAAATTCCTCTACAGCGCTGTAAAAGACTCATTGCCAGTTATCGCAAACGCTTGATTGCAGTTGTTGCTGCTAAGGGTGGCCCAACCAGTTATTAGGTTTAGGGGGCAGTCACTTTTTCACACAGGGCCATGTAGGTTTGGATTTTTTTTCCCCTTTAATAATAAAAACCTTCATTTAAAAACTGCATTTTGTGTTTACTTGTGTTATCTTTGTCTAATACTTAAATTTGTTTGATGATCTGAAACATTTAAGTGTGACAAACATGCAAAAAAATAAGAAATCAGGAAGGGGGCAAACACTTTTTCACACAATTGTATATGTTCCTCCTAAAGGTAGAAATGTGTGTGTGTCTCCAGCGTTCCCAGTAACTCCAGAGTACTGATGCTCCTGGGCCAGCTGGAGAGGATGAATGGAGAGGCCATGAAGAGGGATGTCGAAACGGCGAGACAGGTCACTGCAAAGATATTTCATCTCATACAGACGCAGGGTGAGAGCAAACGCGCACAGAATAACGATGCAATCCACTGTACTCCAACTGAAAACAAGACAAAATCCAGCATTTTCCATGTATTTTAATGTTTTTTCATAGACAAGCAATGTGGTTATAGTGGTGTTATGGGTGTTTGTGTACCTGTCTGTCTGTCCACGGATAATCTCACATACTGCTGGACCGATCAGCCACATATTTTTTTGTTCACCTCTTGTGGTTACGGTGATTCACACTTTAGGAAACAACATTTTATTGACCGCCATTGACTACTGACTCCTCACTCCTCTTAACCGGTCGATAGGGATCAACAACTGCTTCACTAGCAAAAGCCAAATTTGGCCTTTGTCGTGGCTCAAAAACTGACATCCACAGAAAAAGTTTGTCTCATTTTGAACCGGAGCATCTTCTGATTAATCCCATACCCAATATATTATGATCCATTAAAGTTAGGCACAATACAAGATGAATAAAAGGCTGTTTTTGTTATCTTCACCGCCATCTTGACTGTAAAGGGAGCTGGAAGGGACAATTGAGTGATATTCAACTCTTCTTTGTTTTGGAGGCGAGAGGGAGACACACCTGGCAGAGATATGCACTCTACTGCACTTTTCCGTTTCAAAATGTGTTCAGTGCCACTGTCGTGTAAATAGAGATGGGTTAGTGCACCGGTAGTCAAAGTGTGGATGGATTGTTGCAGTGTCTCCAGATCTGGTTCTCTGATTACTCTTTTAAAAGGAGAGTAGAGAAGAAGATCTGACAGCAGAAGAAGCCGCTGTGCGGTGTCGCTGTGGAGAACAGACTGAAACACGAGTGTGTCTCTGTTAGCAGGGGGGCCTCTCTGCCACTCCAAGGAGCCGGAAGTAATAGAAATCTCTGATGTAAGCATCATTGCTCTAGTGCTTTAACAAATAGTTGATTCATGTATTTGTCAAACTGACAATAATTTAAACAGTAACTGTTAATGTCATTTATCAAGCAAAAGTGCCAACTAACAACCTTTCAAATGTTAGGAGTTGCGGCTTTTTTCAATTTGATCTCATTGTAAAAATAATACCAGCGATTTGAAGTAATAATCTTGGGCTCTTTGAAATTGTCATGTGTATTTTGTACTACTTTGACACATTAAATAGACGAAATGATTAATCAGGTAATTGAAAAATGCATTAAATATTGACGACAGATTAATCAATTATGAAAATAGTTGGTTACTGGCAGCCATTACTTTAAAAAAGATTAATAAAAGTGTACCACAATACTACATATTTGAACTGTTTAAGATTTCATATTTTTTCCCCGCAGCTAGTAGTTTTCAGTCAATGTCATTTTTTTTTTTTATCATGGATTTTTTGAGTGAGAACAACTTGTAATCACTTGAGTCAACTTTAATGGAGCCTTTTGTGTGAAAGTGAAGAATTCAGCTAAATCATCACCTAATTTTGAGCCTGCTGGTACTATGAACGTCTTCATTATTGCTGTTCATGAATTTCGTCTTTCCTCCTCACATAATTCATTGCTTCCTTCCTCCCACTTCAAAGTAAGCTTGTAGTTAATCCATCATGACTGTTGTGCACAGTGGGAAGGCTTTCGTCTGTGACACCGTCAATCATGATGCCTCAGCTGTTCCTCTTTCATCTCCTGCTTGGCTGTCTGTCACACCCTGCCTACAGTTCCCGACTTGAAATGTGCATGAGCGTGACGATGGTTAGGGGGAAGGAGGGGGTCCGTGACCCTGTTCACAGTAACTATACACCTCAAGAAGGACTTTGCTGTACTCTTGTCTCATGTTCAGTGTTTTTGGAGCAGAAGGCAGTCAATAGATACCAAGAAACATAACAAGGATGACAGGGAGAAGGGACAGCTAGGAGTTGAAAGTGGGGTCATAAACTCATACATCTGATAAAAATAAAGATTAAATTGCTCCACAGACCAGTCAGCAATCCTATATAGATGTCATCTTTCTGTAGGAGCAATTGGTGGTTTAGTTTCTGGTAGTGTGCAGGGGGGGGGGGGGATAGAGGGATAGAGGGATAGAGGGATAGAGAAATACCTGCAGAAGTTTCTAAGGGCCTTTATATAGACTATCACACTCTTAGGTGTTTGATTCACAGCAGACTTGCACAACTTGTAGGACTCCAGAGGCAGTGAACCTGGGATTTTGCAATACATCTTTTCACCCGCAGCTTTGGTGAGCTTTGAGACCTTTGTTTTGAAATGGAGTACCGCTACACCAGGAGATACTTTCCCTCTGTGGTCTCCCCGGACCCACCAGCTAGGGTCCAGAATGATGAAACTGTTTCAGGTATTTTGACTCGGACTCTTAAAAATCCTCCTTAAAAAATCCTCCAATGATGCATACAGGTTTTCACAATAGCATTATTTATTTGTGTTACACATATGTTAAATATCTCACTTTGCTCAGGTTAGGTGAGATTACAAAAAACAGTCTGACTTCTACAACCTCCACATTCATGTGCAGCCGTGGCTGAGTAGTATCTACAGTCACTGAGAAAGACATATGTGATGGGTATTGAGTTAAATTAATTAAAGGTCAACATCTACAGGTAGTTGTGCAGATCACAATTAGATGTCTATCTATTTTACTTTTAAGTAGCATCATAAAGCTTGGTTAGTTCTTATTAGTACACATTTTTACACGAAGAATAAAATCATTGGGATTGGAAAATATAGTAAATAGACAAATTGCATCAAATCATTGTAAGTATGATTATTATGAGTATTATTTTGTCCCAGGGATGGTAGTATGCGTAATCCTGTGTGTGTGTGTGTGTGTGTGTGTGTGTGTATTATTTTATTTTTTTAGTAGGATTAGTGTCGAGATGCTAGTTTATTTTGAAGAGCGTTAAAAAGTCTGGTATGACAGAAATGTTTTAAGAGGTCACCGCTACAAGTCACTGAAGCGTGTGCATGCTCTTCTATTTACTTTGTTGACACGCTCAGCTATGCACATAGTTGTGTAAAGTGTGTTTTAGAAAGTGTGTTTGTGTGTGTCATCAACCATGAAAGCCGCATGCTTGATTCATTTCCTGCTGTTATGCTGCATTCCTAGTTAGTGACAGCAGATAATGCTCATTCTCCAGCGTAGCAAACCAGTTATTTTCACATCCTGTTGAGCTCATGTCTCAGCTAATATTTGACACATGTTAAATCATGATTTGTTGTATATATCTATTGTGTAATGCGGCAGAATATTTGTAACTAAAAGTAACTGTGGTCTTCACATGTTCCAAGTTAATTTTGTGACTTGTGACTTGTCTTGAATGGTCGATTCAACATTTACAGGACAACCCGCTGTACTTGGAATAACAGCGCCCCCTTTGCCCCTCGGTTGCTTTGCACAAGTGCAGAACTGTTTATCTTCACATTTCTGATCCTTTTTTATTTTGTTGTGTGTTGCAGAGAAGAGCGGGAAAGAGGTGATGTCCAAAGGCTCCAGTGGCATGGAGGTGATTCTGGCTTCACTGGAGGTCAGCTCACTCATCGACACAACTGGAGACAGCAGCTCAGAACATGACAGCACTTCAACACTTAAGCTTATTTGACTATTAAAGAATTATTTGTCTTTGTGCTAAGCTAAGCTAACTGGCTGCTAGTGGTAGCTCCATATTTACAGTACCAGAGTGGTATTAATCCTCTCATCTAACTAGCGATAAAGCGAATATGCTATTTCCCAAAATGTCAAACTATTTCTTTAAGGCGTATTTCCCTCACTTTGAAATGTTCTTCTTAAAAACGAATCGACATCCACGATGTGAGCTTTGTCAGAATAAGCTCACTGTTTAAATCATTGCATGCAGAGACGTAAGAAATACATCACTGGCTTTATATGAACAGCTGTGGGAAACCTCGCTGCAGGTGACACATCGATGCGTCGTTTGATTTGAGATTAGACTGCACGACTAGGAGCGAGTAAAATAATGTCTGAAGAGGTAATTGCACACCTTGCTATAATTCAGGATATTCACCTGCATGTTGTCTAATAAGTGTCCCCCGTGTGGCTTCGACAGAACACCAGGGATGTCCAGACCACTCTGAACATCTTGTACATTCTCAGTGAGCTGCTAACTGTGGGTGAGTAGAGTGATCTCTCTTTTTTTTTTCCCCCAAAAAATTTATGAGCAGTTTATGCCCTGATTTTTAGAGCTAATAACATTTACTGGATAATCACTTAGTGGGCAATTTAACTGTCATTTACAATTTAGGAAAATGATATTTGGCAGTAAAGTACTTTTTCATGTGAGTAGTAAACATAATCTAAAAGCATAAACAATTCCTTGAGCCACACTAATAAATGGTAAAATGTTAGTAAAAGTTAAATGGCTCTGGGATCGATAAAGTAGTAAAGTTTTAAGGTTTGTGCTTCCCAGGATTTCGACTGCATATTCCCATCATGAATTCTGTTTTTTCACATCTAATGCTGCTTTATTGTTGTTTTCTGTCTTCAGGCAGAGGTCGCAGGGTCGGAGTGTTTGTGTGTAAAGGAGGAACAGGAATCTTATTCCAGATTCTGATCACTGCAAGTAAAGAGTTGCCTCCCAGTGAAGAACTCATGCTGCAGCTTCACTCACTGCTCGCCAAGGTTGGCCCAAAAGGTGGGTTTAATGTCACAGTTTAACTCAATCAAACACACAGTCCACCTATATTTATCAGGGAACAACTCATGTTTGTTTTCTTTGACATTTTGTTGAGTTTGCATTTGTCTCTGTTCATCTTGTGTCTTTGTTTCATGTCCAAAATGTCATGTCGCTTAAGTCATCTGAAGTCTAGTCGGCGCTGTTAAAGGTGCTGTTCAGTTTTATTGTAAACAAATAAAAGTTATGTTAACATTCCGTATTTCTCGGCAAAACACATTGTGTGTTGAGGTCTAACAAACTTGTTGAGTGCATTTCTTTTTTACATCCTTGCCCTTGTTGGCGCATTGCTCCATTTCTTGGTGCGTTACTGCCACTTCATCAGCGGACCAGCATGTGAATCAAACTACCCGTGTAGTGCATGCATGTTTGTCCTTGTGTGTACACAATACAAACAAAGCATTGCTCTCTAGTCTACTAGTGGTCAAACTCTACAGGGTGCTGTGAAGACTTGTTATTTAGTATTTTGCAGAAAACATTTAGTGATGTTTTCTTTGCATGATCATGTGTGTTCAGACAGGAAGTTTGGAGTGAAAGCGCGTTTGAGCGGAGCGCTGAACGCCACAGTCAACTTAACGAAACAGAACCTACAGAACACCAAACTGCTTCTGCCCTGCCTGCAGGTTCTCAGGGTTTACTCCACCAACTGTAAGTTACCTTTAACTTTGAACTTCACAGCTCAAAATGTTATGTTCTATTGGAATTCAAGTGCCAAGAAATACTACAGAATCTTAAACTGACGGAAGTTTCAGTGGTATTCGAAGTCTTTATCTACTTTTGAATGCTGTGTCCTCTTCATGCGTTTGTTTTTGTGAAGCGGTGAACGCTGTTTCTTTGGGTAAGAACGGAGTGGTGGAGGTCATGTTCAAGATTGTCACGCCGTACAGCAAGAAGAACACCAGCCTGCTTAAGTAAGCAGTCGATTGTGATGAATGAGCCAGCATGAATGCTGTGTTATAACAAACTAGTGACATCCACAGGCCATTTTCTAATGTGTCATTGGCGTTTGTTCAGCAGTAACCATGTAACCGTGTAATTTGCCTTGTTTCTAAATCAACAGGGTAGCTCTGGATGCCCTGGGAGCTCTGCTTAAATCCAGTGAGTCATTTTCTTTGTGGCATTGAGTTTTGACGCTTCAGTAGTGTAGTGAGCCTTAATTGGTGCTGGTTCCTTTTGCCTCTCTCACCTCCACCATCATTAACCCTTTGCCTGTACTTGAATGTTTTTCTGTTTCCCGCTGTCGCGAACACAGTTAATGATCATTCAACATAGATTTCAAGTTACCTCATCCCCAAATGTACCCCTCTTACTCCTCCCACCCTTCTCTTCATGTTTATCGTCTCCCTCCACCACTTCCCCCTGCAGAGACGAATGCTCGCCGTGCAGTAGATGGTGAACATGTGCATGTCTTGCTGGCTCTGTATCAGGACTGGCATCACAATGACACGCGGCATCGCCACATGCTCATTCGCAAAGGGCTGCTGGTCTGCCTCAGGAACATCACCAACATCAAGCTCGGCAGGAAAGCATTCATCGACGCTGATGGCATGAGGATCCTCTACAACTCGTCCACTGTGAGTGAGAATGTGACATGCGCTTGGCCAACAATTAAAGCATGCAACACGTACTACACACACACACACACACACACCATCTGGCCTACTCTCTACTTTCTGTGTGATTTCATTTCAAGGAGTGTCTCCCGGTGCGGACTCTGGATCCACTTATCAACACTTCGAGTCTCATCATGAGGAAGTGTTTCCCTAAGAACCGTCTGCCTCTGCCCACCATCAAATCAGCCTTCCATTACCAGCTGCCACATGTACCTGCTGCAGGGACTGTGGCGCAGCTGTACAGCCAGCCACCTGGGGGTGAGAACACAGGACTCACGCACACATACTTCACTAGAGCGTGCCCCTGCATATCACAGTGTATGAGCATGCCTTTCATTGATGATAATGTCGTACAGACGGACACCTTTTTTTATCACAGTCATGGCTCCTAGATTCAGCCGTACATAATACACAGACACACACACACACACACACAAATAATGCTTGCATCTTTGACCGCATAAATTGTTGATGGCAACACTGCTGCACACTTGCAGGAAGAAAAATTCAACAGCTCTGCGACAGGCCCTTAAAGAAGGGTAAGACATACGTAAGAAACAACTCCATCCTCAGAATACATAGACTCACTCACTGCAGCTTTTTTTTTTTATTCACCTCACGTCATGCTCTAACTTCACTAAACTAACACATGACATGTGTTAGTAATACACATGTAATAAAGATGCTTCGTGCACATTGCTTAGTGGTTGCATGCTCACCAGTAGACTTATGCACTTACACTGTACTCAATTAATATGCCTCCTTGCATCCACAGGCTTTTTGATGGAATATTTGACCCACTTTGCGCTTCCCTTAAAAGGTGCTAAATTGTAACGGTGCTCGCACCACAAACAGGGCAAACAACGGTGACAGTGCTGACAGAGCTAACAGTGTTAACCTGGGTGGGAGCCAGAAGGTGGGCGCTTCGCTTCCCCGACGACGCTGTGGGTCAGGACGGCGTTATCGGCTGTAACCTCCATATAAGCGACAATTAGCTAAGCAGTTGGGCACCCACACAGGAACTTACATACATGCGCGGCTGGACTGGCTAAGTAAACAGTACTCTACTATACCTTTACTTAGAAAATAGTTGTTTGCTGCTATGTTATGTTAATTCGTAGAATTTCGAATTTAGCACCCTTAAACTGATCTAAGATAAAACATGTCTTGTCAAAATATTACTCGATTTGCTTAATTGATTCTGCTTGATGATGTACATGTCCTCACACTTTAGTTAATTTCCTAGAGAGGGCAAAGTCAAACAAGAAGTCCATAAAACAATGATTAACACCACCGTTTTGACAGCCCTAGTTAGCAACGGCAGCCGGAGTAATTGCCTCAGTCTTAGCGCTACATTGTGTTGACGCCTCTATATTCCCAAAAACATGTCAGCGATGTCAGTAATCCAACTATGGGGAACGGTGTAACATAACAAGCTACTGCTATTACATTGACTTGTCATTGAGATCACCAGCTCACTGTATTTTAAGAAATATAATCATGATTTTTTCTGTCCTCTAAATCTCTCACTCATCTCTGAATCATGGCTGCTCACGTCAGGTTTTTTTTTTTTTTGCTTTACATTTTCTCTGTTCTTGTCATAGTAATTAAACTCAGTGTCCAGAAACACTTGAGTTCTACCAGTCTGGTTATGTGCCAGGCTGATACACACTAAATAATAAACACCTTGCTCGAGTTAAGGACAGTAACCTCATAATGCATATCTGTGTGTGTGTACCCAGTGGATGATGTGGTGGATGAAAGTGACGATAACGAGGAGACAGACGCAGACACGGAGAACGATACTGAGAACGAAGAGGACGAGAAGGACCAACACACTGCGGTAACATTCAGCACTCGGAGGCACACACCATATTTCACATGGCAACATTATGTGCCATGTGAAATGTTGTATCAAAATGTTGAGTCTATTTCCTCTGTATGACGGTGGTGTTATAGAGACAGTGCAGAGTTTAGACCTAAGTGATTTATATCACGATTCAACTTCACAAAGGGTTGTGATGTATAATATAATTGGCTAAAGGATGTGAATCCTCACACGGTTGTTTAAAAATGAATCCATTGTTGATATTTGGGGTATTGTTCATTGTATTAAACTGAATCTCTACAGATTGAGTCATTTGAGGACGGAGTATCGTAGAGCTGTGTCAGAGTTTTTTACTGATGTTGATAAAGTCTTCTAAATTTCCAGCAGAGGGTAGTCATAACTCACCAGTGCCTAACGCTCTCATGTCACTTTGTCAAACATGCCAATCATTTCTGATATACTTTTGCAATTACTGATTTAATCAAAACATTGTTCTGCTCTTTCAGGATGTGACTAAACAATCCAGAGAGGAAGTCAAAATTTCCAAACACTATAAAATTACCCTAAAATTTAACTCAAAATAAGTTTAAAAGAAAATTGTGTCTCTTTTGTAATTTTTTTTATTAGCTGTAGTTCTTTTTTCCCCTTGTTTTGTCCATCTCATATTCCCTAGATAGCAACATACTTAAGCAATAGCCGAAATGCAGCCAGATGGCACACAGTGAGATATGAGTGTTTTCTCTCTTTGTGTCCTTTTGATCAGAACGATGACATAGAGACGGACCTAAACAAGCTACATCCAAAAAAGAACCCCGGACGTCCATTCGAGGAGTTGAGGGTCTATGAGAGGTTCTTCTTGGAGCTTTCTGAAGACTTCCAGGTCAGTCATTAATGTTTGCCCGTGTTGATGAGATTTCAAGGTGAAAAAAATGACAAAAAAACCCTATACATTTATACCAACATGTATAATAGCTGAATTGGTTTATTAATCCATACGTATGTGACAGAGTTAAACAGTGTGTTGGCACAGTACACTCACTTAGGTTGGTGTATTTTAACAAGTACTAGTAAAATGTTATGTTATTGGCACAATGTCAGCACTCTTGTGTGTCATAATGAATTAGTATGAGATAAATGTTTTCTACAACATGGTCACATAGAAATATCTTGTCAAGACATCACAGTATCTTGCCTCTCCTTTTTTAATTCTATGATAATCTTTTTTTCGATATTTTATTGTATTTAATGTCATGCGGCCTACCACAAATATCTGCCTTTTTCTGATCGGTATATGTTATTCCTGCAGGGTTGTAACTTTGAACCGTCAAAGAGTGCCTCTACCACATCATCATCTTTCTCCTCAACTCGATCCACTCGGCCAATCATAGTGCCAACAGCTCAAGCCCTGTCCCCAAAGCATGTCCCCATAATGAGCTGTCAGGAGGATTGCAACCCTACCAAAAGAAAACGCACCCCGCCGTCTCCATCTGTGCCCACTCCTGCTCCTCTAACACCGCTAGAACTGGACACCATCCACCTCACCAAGGACCAAGACAGACAAGAGGAGGCCCACATTCCTTCCCCCGACACACATACAACATTGTCCTCCCTCACCAGGCCTCCTTCTCAAGCGCAGATGATAGAGCAGGATCTGGCACATGTGTTGGAGTGTGTCTCTCTAGAAGCGGAGGGGGCTCTGAACACAGGAGAAGAAGTAGAAAGGGGAGTCAAGCAAGAAGAAGTCAATGCCACAAGGCACATACAGTCTCCACTGCTCCTGGGGGGCATCGCTACTCGTCGTGTGGGAGGAGGAGGAGGCAGTAACTGGGGTTCAGATTGTGGCTCAGAGGGAGCCGAGGATGAAGGAGCAGTTCTGGAGGTGCCAGACACGGCGCTGCTCCTCCCGCTTCATGACCCCGACCTTTACGTGGAGATGGTGAAGGGAACGCAGTCCGTACCCCAGTACGCTGAAGTAGCTTACCCGGACTACTTTGGCCACATTGCCCCAACATTTAAAGAACCCCTTCAGGAGAGAGTATATGGTGTACAGAGGTGAGACATTTTTATTCACACTGTGGTTCGCAGAAATAGTTAAGCATACAAATGGAAGAGGGTATACAGGTTATAAGAACTAAGCGTACTGTAGTGTTTTCAATGCCAGAAAGATTTATCAAGTTTATTTAGTTTTTCAGTCTTTCATTTATGCTACATATATGAGCATGACCTCGTGCTGACTTATGGGGCTCCAGGCAGACCTTTTGTAGCCTCAGTAATAGTGATGTTTTTGTGATGCAAGTTGTAATTTCCAGGCACAATTTGCAAAAAGTTACATGCAATCATGTGATTAAATTCTGGGGTTGCATGTCAGTCCAAATTGACTCTTTAGTCTGAATTTGAGCTACAGTTTGCCTTTTAAACTTTGCTGTGAATGTAAGGTTATGCTGGCGGGAAAATGCATTTCCTATAGCTTATTGGACTCATCCTCATTAATAAACAATATTTGTTAATGGAAAACATATTTGTCCCCCCATTGTGTTAATCATGAGTTTGGTTTTGGGTCTAATCCTGCAGGTCTAAAATATTCCAGGACATTGAGAGGTTAATTCATCCCAATGATATCGTGGATAAAGTAGTCTACGACTTAGACATTCCCAGGTAAGTCCTTCCTACTGATTGTGCTGACAATAAGCATTTAAACAGCTACAGTTTCTCCTGTTTTGGATCATGTTGAGAGCTGTGACATCCACAAAGCAGATGAGCTCAATCTGTTGTCCACATTTTGTTGTGTTTCAGTTGTCCTGTGATTGAAGACAATGGCGAGTCGCTGAAGTTCAACTCTCAGTTTGAGTCTGGCAACCTCAGGAAGGCAGTTCAAATTAGGAAGTAAGTGTCACCTTTTAATATAATGATAACATTTAAAGCTGTGGTCAACTTTGACTATATTCAACCTACAACCTACTTTCACAACAGTTTTACAGAAGTTAGATTGAAAACAAAAGAAGTATTGGAGATCAGTATTGTTAAAAGTTGACGATGTTTAGGTCCAAATTTACAGATTCTGTTGTGGTGTTTCTCCAGAAATGAGTATGACCTTGTGCTGAATTCAGACATCAACAGTAATCACTACCACCAGTGGTTCTACTTTGAGGCGAGCGGCATGCGCGTTGGAACCACCTACCGCTTCAACATCATCAACTCTGAGAAGTCAAACAGCCAGTTCAACTACGGTGAGATGCATAACTACGTGTCAAACACCCAACAGTTGGTCATTCTCATCTGACTTACAGAAGATTTTAATTTTTCTTTTTTGACATACAGTTCAGTCAATATGAGGCTTGGGCATCAGACAGCACATATTCTAAACTTTTGTGTGTTTATCTTTCTTGTGTGTGTGTGTGTGTGTGTGTGTGTGTGTGTGTGTGTGTGTGTGT